AAACGTCAGCCTTCCTGCTCCTCTGATGCTGCTTGGCCTGCTGTGTTCATCCAGCTCTACACCCTGTTGTCTCAGATTCTCCAGCATCTGCAGTTCCTACTATCTCTGCTACAAATTACAGTTGATTTTGAGGTTAGAATCTGTTGCTAAACTCAGTGATGTTGAAAAGCACATATCATAAATTTGCTTGAAATATATGACTGTGGAATTAAGAACGATGGCATCTGCTGTTCATGCTGGAGATGATTGAAGTAAATTCACGTGGAATCAATGTCTATGGTCGCTTACCCCTCCATTGGATGTAATGCAATGGCTCGGGGTTTCTCCAAATTTTGCCACAAAAGTACTTTTCTCTGCGTTCCATCAAGATTAGAGACCTCGATACGTGATGTCCCAGAATCAGTCCAGTATAACTTGTTGTGGATCCAATCGATGGCCAGCCCACCTGTCAGAGATTACAACTTTTTTGGAGACGTTACACAGATATTGTTAGCATTCTCTTTTCCTTTTGTGGGTCAAGAATTATAAGGCTGTACCTAAACGTCTTTGTGGCAACAAACATACACATGAGATATAACAGAAGCACTTCTGCTGACTGACATCTGACTGATTCACAGGGCTATAAAAACCAAAAGAAAGTAAGTGACAGAATGTAAAACCTTCCTTCCTCTGTGCAGTACAAACTATTTTATAATTAGCCTGTTTCCATTTCCTTACCAGACTCTACTGAAAATAAACATTTTAATTTCCAAAAATACAGGACAGATACAGATCAGAAACAATACAAACAAACAGTCTACAAATATATTCACTGGGTCAGTCAGAAATATCAACAAAATGAAAAAAAAAGGCTTAAGTTTTCAGGCCTAATTAGAAATTAGAAAATGACATGTTTTAACCAAGCAACACCCTTCCTCCCAAATCAAAGTCAGCCATAAATTTCAATTGATTTTATTTCAGTTTCTACCACATCAAATGCCACACACTCTCGAGGGAAAAATAGATTCGTGACATCTTAAAAATAGGCAATGTGCATTTCTGTACATACAGAAGCAATGTGAGGGGGAAAAATCAGGTGTGTTGGTGTTAAATACACACCTGGAGAAAATCTGTCTTTTCGTTAAGCACAAGGCAGAGTGATAATTACATTGCAAGTGTAGTATAAATTGTTAGTGTGTGCAGTTCAGCTGGGTTTGTAACCATTACAGGCACCCGATTAGAGAGGGGTGTTGCGTTTACTCTGTTTATCTTGTCATTCTGTTTGACTGTGTTCAGTCTAATGCAGATGTTCCAAGGGTGGGCAGGGTTGGTGGGGCTGGGGGGGGCAGTGAACGAGAAAGAGGTGCAGCCTTATATGTCCAGAGACCTTTGGAGTTTAACCTGAACAAATCTCAGTTGCACAGTATGGTGATACTGTGCCTTTAACAGAGATGTGTCCCTGTCCTGCTTCTCTTGTAAAGGGGTATTGTCACACTGGTACCCATGTCTCCTTCTTTTTGACAAAGGAATCAGGAGTGGGAGGCATCATGGCTCACACAGACCCAAAAAGATTTTAGTTTTGCTTTCAGTTAGTTGCTGGTTTCTCCTGACTGCTGGAGCTGTAAGCTTGAGTTCCCAGCTGCTAGAGTGAGGTCTTTGACAGCAAGGCTTCCTTTTAAAAATCAGAAGGGGTAGATTGCTTCTTTCAGTGTTTCTACTGGACTGGAGAGAGACAGCAAGTGAGAATAATAACTGTTGCTGAACTGCCTTTGCCAAGGGTGTGTTTGTGGGATGCTGCCTATATTGGAACAGTTAGTGATTAGTGGTTAAGTAATAAACGATCTTGTTAAGCATTTCAATAAAGTTATGCCAATTCTTCTTTTTGTTGTATTTCAACTTTGTTACAAGAATAAAGCATGTTTTGATTAAAGCTTAGTGGTGAACCAATGGATTCATATCTGCAACTCAGAGCCTTACACATGCCTTTATAAAAAATATTTAAAAGTAAGGTGACCCTAGTGTACACTGGATTCTGTTGGAGTATTAGAAGGAAAGGTACCTGATGCACAGAAATTGGTGGCTACGCATCAAATAGAAGTCTTGATTGCTCCAACTTGAATTTTAGAATTCAGTGAAAAATCAAACACTTTGTGCCCAGATTCTCTAGTTACTCAGAAACCCAGCTGTTTCTCTGCCAGTCCAGCACAGTGCATGCAGAAAGAGAGTAAGACTATGTCAGTGGAAGCCGCGGGCACACTCCAGGTAGGCAGTACGTTATCAGAAGACTGTGTTTTGTGACCAGTTCCAGTGACACCGGCTTGAAACAATAACTCCAAGAATTTACTGTTTCAAAGTGTCCTGAAGTTTCTTAGCTCCTATCGGCTTTATAACTGGAACAAATGTGACATTTCAAAACCCACAACCTCTACCAAAAGAACAACAGATGCATGGAGAATGCAGCCAAATTCAAGTTTCCCTCCAAACAACTCACCACCCTAACTTGGAAATACATCGACGTTCCTTCACAGTTGCTGTGTGAAAATCCTGGAACCCCTTTCCTGACAGTGGCCGTCCCTATATCTCAAACGCTGCAGCAGTTCAATGAGGCAACTCACCACCAGGGCAAAAATGATGGCTTATCGAGAGGCATCCACATCCCATGAATTAATAAAACAAACTGATTTTTGATGGACGCTGAAAATATTGGAAGGAAGGTGCAGATCCAAGGCAAAAAAAAGAAAAAGAGAAATCTGTTCTTCCCTATTTGGAGATGGAATTCATATGAACCAGCTCAAAAAGAGATCATGAACCACATGTGTTTGTGCTGCAGTTTCTGTTCAGGACAACAAGCCAACTAAAGTGCCACTTGGAGCCCTAAGATAAACCACAAGGGCTTTTATTTCCAAAAGACAGCTCTTCATCTAAAATAACCACTGAAGATAATTGAAGAGTTTTGATGACTACCCCATAGTAACGTTGTAACAGAAGGTTAAAGAAAGAGTGCCACATTCCTGGAATTCTCTCTAAATCACTATTTCAGCAAATTTTCATCAGCACTTGAGGTTTCAATGAGGTATTTGGCTGACAGACTCGATTTGTTAGATTTCTTTCCCATGCAGAACCAGATACACAGCTTTCCCTGAAGTGGAAACCTCTGAGATGGCTACGAATTGCAGGGCGATATGATGGGGATTGCTTTCGGCCATTTGCACACCTAAAGTAGGTGGTGAGCAGTGGTTTGCACCGGGAGCTGGAGGCCTGAGGTCCGCTCAATCCCAGGTCCTGAACCCCATTAACCAATCGGCAGTGAGCAGCATGCACCAACTGAGGGGTAACCCACAAGGGGATGAATCTGTTCCAATCCCGGCAGAAGCCCTTTGATATTTCCTGGGACTGGCAACAGGAGGAAATCAGGCTCAAGTGGAAATGAGTGTGTGGCCTGGAAACAGGCAAATGCGAGGAATTATTGTTTTAAGAAACATACTTTTTTGAGATTGATACCAGCAGGCTCTTGGAGGGACACTCGTTACTCTGTCTCAAAATATTTTTAGCCTAACTGCAAATGCAACCAAAGCAGCCTCATTTCAAGAAGGGGAGGAGAGGTGTAGGGACTCAAACAGGGGTTAGTGACCCCCACTTCGCAAATGCACTGGTGTCAATTTCAGCCATGGGCCCAACGAACCAGTCCTGGACGGTTTTCCAACATGTAGGTGGTGCAATTAGAGGACATCTTCACTACTGCCATATTGAACATTTATTTGAGTCTTGCTGAATGTCACTAAAGCTTTCCATCTCACACTCATCAGGATACATGCAGGAATGTCAAATCTCAAACAATCACACTAATTTATACGACAGGAGAATAGTGTGCTGATTAGTTGGCAAGTCAACTCTCATTGGCTGATATATTGGCATGGAGAAAGCAATGGCGAGCCACAGTGTAGGCACAATGGGTAGAATGGCTGCCTTCTGTGCTGTTACATTTCTGTGGTTCTGAATTGAAAAGAAACAGAAGGCTAAAACTTATGCCTTTTGTTTACAGAGGACTGTAGTAAAATGGCTGCTGCTGGTTGAAATTTGGCATTCTTGTGCCGGTCCTGATCAGTGCAGGATAGAAAGCCTCAACACCATGTCTCTCCTCAGTAATACTCAAGTCCAATACTATCTGTGATTATTTGACTTCAATTAAAAAGAATATTGTCTGCTGTGTAAAATGGCCTAACAGTCCATTATCAGCTGTTTCATCCAATTGACAAAGACAAATTCTCCCCACCACTTTTTTTTAAGACTGAGAGTCTCCAAAGACGGCCTCAGTAACTAAAGGTTTAGGATTCTCTGTTCAGGTATTTTAAAGGTTTCAAGGTTAATGACTAAATTTGCCTTCAGGAAAGAGCAGTCTACAACCGTTTACTACAGCTTTATTATAAAAAGGCTGTCATTTTACACAGGTAAAGTCAGGTGATCTCAGGTCATTGTGGTGTGTCGGCACTGGGTAAAGAGCCCAGCTGTCTGACCTCTGACAATATTCCTGGTAACAGCATCACTCAGATCCACGGCCATTATGTAAGAAAGTGCAGCTGGCAAATGTGGGCATTTTGAAACTGTGGAATGTGCAAAAAAATAGAAGTAGTGACATTCACAAACACATTGATGGCTCATTTCTGGACATTGATGAGAATGGCCAACAGTCTTCCTGCTCAGTCTGACATTGGAAAAATAGAAACTAGGAGCAGGAGTAGGCCATTCAGCCCTTTGAGCCTGGTCCATCATTCAATATGATCATGGCTAACCATCGAACTTAGTATCCTGTTCCTGCTCTCTCCCCATACCCTTTGATCCCTTTAGTCCTAAGAACTGCATTGAACTCCTTCTTGAAAACATTCAATGCTTTGGCCTCAACCGCTTTCTGAAACCAATGATAAGTTTCAAAAGTCTGAAGAAGAGTCTCCACACCAGACTTAAAACATTAACTCAGTTTCTCTCTCTACAGACGCAGCTGGACCTGCTGAGTTTCTCTGTTTCAGTTTCAAAGGTCTGTCTTGATTTAAACCAATCCATACCTGGACTCTCCAGACCCGTTGACACCACTTCCTCCACGTTACTCCCATTCAGATTGGCTTTCATAATGCGGTCCAGGGTCACATCTGACCAGAACACAAGCTCCTTGTTGTGGTGGAAGTCCAGGGCAATGGCATTCTCCAAGTTGTTGAGGAGGAGCGTATACTCTGACCGTCGGGGAAGTACCTGGCGAATATCGATGCGATTTGCAAACAGCAGCACTGGTTCTGGCCCTGAAGGTAATAACAATTTCACAGACAGGTAAGTTGATGGACATACTTCAGTCAACGAGATTTCAATTGCTGCCAAAATTAATTCCTGACCAACCATACAAAAACGATTTATTTATTCAAAGACAGCTGAACATGTGCAACTGACAAAGACTTGTTGGGCAAAAAGGCCTGCTTTCCATTCTATAGATTCTAGGCAATGAACCTTATCCATAAAACCATAAGACATAGGAGTAGAAGTAGGCCATTCAGCCCACTAAGTCTGCTCTACATCCAATGAGAGATCATGGCTGATCTGATAATCCTCAACTCCACTTTCCTGCCTTATGCCCGTAACCCTTGAGTCCCTCATTAATTAAAATCTGTCTATCCCAGCCTTAGATATACTTAATGATCAAGCCCCAACAAGCAGCTCTCTCTGAGGTTATGCCTTCTAGTCCTAAATTGGTCCACAAGGGGAAACAATCTTTCCATATCTAACCTGCCAAATCCCCCAAGAAACTTCCATGTTTCAATTAGATCAGCTCTCATTCTTCCATATCCCAATGAGTACAGGCTCAACTTACTCAACCTCTCCTCAATGACAGACACACCCCCACACCTGGGATTATCCTAGTGAACCTTCTCTGGACAACTTCTGTCAACTCAGGCCATAGCAACATGGGGCTACAAATGTCGCTACTTCTATGTTATGATGTTTCATAAACACGGACACAGTAGTTTGATTCATTCCACCTTTGCCCCTAGTTAGACAGGAAGAATTATAACTGTGGGGAAATAGAAATGTAGTGGGAATGTCACTGGAAGAGCAATCCAGAAACCTAGGCCAATGCTCCTGGGAGCCAGGTTTATAACCCACCATGGCAGTGACTAGAATTTAAAATTCAATGAACAGATTTTTTAAAAATCTGGAACTGAAATCCTATTGTGATTCTTTGGTTTTTAGTTGAAATGTTGGCAGGCGGGTGTTGTTACAGACTGCCAAAGAGCAGAAAGAGCACGCGAGAGACAGGGTGCTGCACAAGTTCCAGGCAATGACCATCTCCAGCAAATGAGAATCTAACCAGAGCCCCTTGAAATTCCATGACATCACCACCACTGAATCCCCAACGATCAATATCATAGGCATTATCATTGACCATAAACCAAACTGGATTAGACATATCACTATCGCCTGGCTCCCAAAATCTGTCCATCATCTCCAAGGTATGAGTCAGGAATACTCATAGAAAGACAGAACATAGAAGGAGTAGACCATTCAGCCCCTTGAGCCTGCTCTGCCGTTCAATATGATCAAACTCAGTTCCCACTTTCTCCCCATACCCGCTGATCCTCTGAGCTTTCAGAACTATATCTAACTCCTTCTTGAAAACATTCAATGTTTTGGCTTCAACTGTTTTCTGTGGCAGAGAATTTCACAAGCTCACCATTCTTTGGGTGAATAAAGTCGTCCTCACTTCAGTCCCTACATTCTATTTGCCTGCTTGAGTGCAGCTCCAGGAACACAACACCATCTTCCACCATCTCTGGGTCAAACTCCTAGAACATGCTTCCTAATAGCAGCATGGAGGTCCCCACAGCTCACCATTACAGTCTCCAGGGCAATTAGGGATGAGTAATAAATGCTTGCCTAGCCACTGACATCCATACCCCGTGACTGAATAACAAAAACTTACACTTCAATAACAACTTGACCAGAGCAAAGCAAGTTTCAAGTTCCAAAGGAGGTCAGATGGTGAATCTGTAGAATTCAATGCCACAGAGGGCTGTGGAAGTCTTTCAGTGTATTTAAGACAGAGACAAATAGGATCTTGATTAGTAAGGAGATTGAGGGTTACACGGAGAAGGCAGGAGAACAGGGTTGAGAAACGTAACAGCCATGATCGAATGGTGGAGCAGACTTGATTAGCTGAATGGCCAAATTCTGCTCCTATACCTCATGGTGAACATCGTGAAAACAGAACCAAGTTGGAATTAGGGAAGCCAGGAAAGTAAAAGATCTGTCTCTCTACCCTAACATAATTCAATTTCTGAAGAAAGTCTGTGAAAGCAATCGAAAGGGTGGGGAACACTTACCAAGTGCTTTGCAGCCTCGCTTGTCAGGGCGTAGTTCATAACCCTGTACACACCAGCACTGGAATCCTCCATCCAAATTGGTACAGCCTTGGCTGCAGTATCCATCCTCAGCACACTCATTAATGTCTGCACAAACCAGCACAACCACAACGTTATCACAAAGCACCTCAGTGGCATTTGTTTGTTAAGGTAACACTTCTGACGTACAACGCTTCCTTCCCCTTTTCAATCTCCTGGTTATAAGGCATCACACACAGGAGACCTTCTCCTGATAACAGCAGCTCTGAAACCACTGACGTGATATCTTATAAATGTGCTTCAACTGGTCACCGTGACAAACACGGACACATTTTGTCCCTTTCACCTCCCAAACAATGAGCCAGGATAATGATAGGGCACAGCGGGGATGGTGTGAAAGGACAGTACTTTGTCAAAGATTGAAAACTGCTTCAAGTGTCTGCAGTGTCAGAACTTGTGTCAGATGGTGTTCAAAATAATTATGAACACTAATATAGCAGACATTCTTTATGATGCACACATTGGGTTTCCAGTGTAAAACCAAGTTACGGCTGAACGATATTAACAAGTAAAGTTATATTTTCTCCTATTTTTAGCAAGAAAAATTAGGATTTAAACAAAGATTTGGGAGCCACAAGATCCTCGTGCTATTGGCTAATCTGCAGTATGTTGAACCATATTATAACAGACTTCCGCTGCACTTATGATTGGGAACTGGGTTTGTCAAATCAGAACAATCAACAGATTGTTAACCTCAGGCAAACACATCTCTGAAATCCTGTTCAAAAAGACAGATAGGAGCTCATAGCAGATGATAAGTCCTGTTTTATTGCTACTATTGGTGCTATTAACTGAACAGCACACAGTGCTGTGCAATAATGTTCTTTGTGTCACACAACTAGCAAAAGTAGTGTTCAGGTCAAGAAATGTTAACAAGAAAATCAAACCCATTGCCACTTCAGCAATTCAACAAGCACTCTGTAATCGATAAGTGCATGCTCCATCAGAGCTTCACTCGCTTTATTCTAATCCAAAAATACTGACTTTTGCCACAATCTCAAAAGAGCATCCAACTGCACCACATTTTTTTCTAGACAGCAAACAAAGCCAGTTTAAACTGTGGATGAAACAGGACAGTGAAGAGAACTGGGGTCTTACTCCAAGAACACTTGGGGTTGGGTCATTCAGTTCATTCAAAGCTCAGTTAAACAGATTTCTGTTGAGTCAAGGGTTATGAGAGTGGAAGAGGGGAAGAGACAGGAGAGTAGGAGTTCAGGACACAGTGAGATCAGTCACGATTTTATTAATCAACACAGCAGCCTCAGCTCAAAGAGCTGAATGGCCTGCTTCCTTTCTTGTAGGTGTCCAACACTGGCCCATTTTATGCTGTTGGACCAAAACGTTCAAACTGAGTTGAGGTTGAATTACAGCCTAAAGGGGGAACACAGTGTCCCACAGCCAGCCACAACTTACTGCATTACTTACCAAATCCTACTGAAGTTAAATGGAAAGGGTATTGGCAGTTCCAGAACAAACAATCTGGCAAATCACCAAAGGCCAAACTGCAACTTCACCAAAGCTGATGCATTCCTAAAAATTCTGCCCATTGAGCCAAGAGTCCTACATGCAGACTTCTTCAGACTTAGACAAGAGATTGTACTGGGAGGTGGTGGCCGAGTGGTATTGCCACTGGGCTAGTAATCCAGAATCACTGGCTAATGTACAAGGGACATGGGTTCAAATCCTGCTGTGGCACAGTGTGAAATTTGAATTCTATAAAAAAGAAACTGGAACTTATATGTAATCATGGTCAGTTGTCATAGAAACTGCCTGGTTCACCAACATCCTTTAAGCAAGGAAACTTCCAAGATACTAGCTATGACTCCAGTCACACAGTAATGTGGTTGACTCTTAACTGCCTTCTGGGCAATAAATGTTGCTCAGTACCATACATCTTCTGTTAACAAATAAGGAAAACAAACAAACTGAAGAGGCCATCATTCATTCTGCAGACTTATCTACCATTTGATCATTAAGTGTAGTGCTGAAAAGTTCATGGGTGAAAACATGGTGAAGGAACAAATGACTGGAAGAGAACGTGAGTACTGCTTGTGTGAGCAGTGTACTCTCAGAAGTCAGCTTCTGTGTACCAATCCCTGATGGGAAGACTTTGGATACCCCACTTCATGCACTTTTCTGGTAACTTTGTACCTAAAATAATTCTGCTTTTCCATCTGGAAATCTGAAATCTGGAAATGCAACACCTCACAGGAGGAGGAATTACTGGGTCACAAATTCTTCTGGTTCTGATTCCTCTAGACATTATTAGTTCACCAATGGTACAGATCCATCTGCCGTGAACAGCTAACGTTGTCAACTTCAATAAAAATTGGAAAGACAATGGCTTTTATTGAATGAATTGCTGACACAAAATTAAAAAGCTGAAGGTTTGCTCAATAAGTTGGCGATCACCAGGGTGTGAAGCAACACCACATTTCAATGCATGTAAATGAGCTTTCCGTGAATCAAAAGAGTGCTGTCTGAACTTTAACCAGAGGAAATCAATCGTACAAGGAAGGGTGAGATGAAAAGTCTCTCAGTGAGTAGAGGAACGGCTTTGATGAAGTGTCTTGTGTCACAGTGACCAATGTTTCTGCGGTTTGGGGGAGGATGACAATGCAGCAGCTTAATGCACCCAGAGTGAAAGTTCCAATATTTGGGCCCTACCTTGGCACAGTTTTCCATTCGCCATTAATCGATAGCCTGTGTGACACGTGCACTGTAAAATACCTCGAACTTGCTGACACTTGTGTGCACACCCACCATTGTCCACATTGCAGCTTTCCCCCTCAGAAGGTTCACCTGGTTTTAAAATCACAAAGTTAGCCTTTTACATCTGAACTGCAGTGATATATCCTGCAAATTATTTAGATGGATCTTTGCTTTCAAATATTTGTTTGTGGACGCACTGGCTAGGCCAGCATTTGTTGCTCAGCCTCAACTGCCTTTGAGCCGAAACTGGCCAATTCCTAGAATTCCGTGGATTGTAGCTAGGGGGTTCCAGTATTTTAACCCAACAACAGGGAAGGGATGTTAGTCCAAGTCAGAAGGGTGACAAAGGGTCACAATAGAGATTGTAAGAACTGCAGATGCTGGAGTCTAAGACAATGCAGTGTGGAGCTGGAGGAACACAACAGGTCAGGCAGCATCAGAGGAGCAGGGAAGTTGGCGTTTTGGGTCGGGACCCTTCTTCAGAAATGGGGAGGGGAAGGGAGATCTGAAATAAATAGAGGAAGGGTGGGGCTGGGGAAGGTAAGTGGGATGGTGATAGGTCAGTGCAGGTAGGGAGTGGTGGGGATTAGTCAGTGGGACGGGTGGGGGCGGATAGGCGGGAGAGAAGATGGACAGGTTGTGTCAGGTCATGGATGCATGGATGAGACAGAGGCTTGGACATGGGATGAGGGCGGAGCTGGGGAGATTTTAAAACTGGTGAATTCCATGTTTAGGCCATCGGGCTGCAGGCTCCCGAGGCGGAATATGTGGTGTTGCTCTTCCAGTTTGCGGGTGGTGTCATTGTGACACTAGAAGAGACCCAGGATGGACATGTAATCATATGTCATCATTTGAGAATTTGAGTTTTATGTTGAAGTAAACTCAATTTGCGATTTCAATTTTGTGAAAGTAACTGTTTTAAGAGATCAGAAAGTCATTTGGAACAGTGAACCAAATACATCATTTCCAAGAAAGCGTATCAATGTAACAATTAACACTTTAGGAACTTGCTGATGTATGTACAAAGCTCAATTTTTATGGCTTAGAGAGAAACACAGACCTGGGGGTCAATTGTAAGTCTGAGTTTAATTTAGAAGAATCAAGTTTCAGTTATATGAACAACTTCACCTTAGTACTGGGACAGTCTGTGAGTTGTGCAGAGTTGAGAGTTTTATTGGAATATCCTGACAATCAGAACTGAAAAGGAACCTCCAGGTCAACCAAATGGCCATCAGCTCTTCAGTCCCAGTGGCACCACAGAGAGCCCTGTGGAGGGGGAGGAAAAGGGATTGTTCACAAGGGCAAATGGTATCTTCCAGCAGAGGGCAGTCTTTACCACAAGGAGAGTGATCAGCCCTACCCATCTCCCAGGCAACTGTTCAAAAATGACAAGAGGCCTAGGAATAATCCTCTTGCCAATCCACTTGTTGAGAGAAGAGTGTATGAGACAAACTGGAAAACTGAACCCATCGAGCACTAAATTTAGTCTGATAGAATTACGCCATAAAGACAAAAAGAGTTCATGGTAAATAAGTCTGCATTGCTGCATAGAAAATAATTTTGAGGACCTCATAGGTAAATTGTTCAATATACAATGCATTTAGCTCAAACTTACGGCAATTCTGATGTGGGATCTCATCGCTGCCATCTTGACAATCCTTGGCACCATTGCAGACTTTCCGTTGCCCAATGCAGCGCCCAGTGCCACATGTGAACTGATCTGGAGCACAGTGTGGGAGTTCTGCAGCAAAAATTCGAAGGGTTAATATCGTGGAGTCAACTTTTGCCATTTTGCCCTTCAGTGCGGAGTTTTACCCATTGCTGGTGCAAACAAAAGAATTGGGAACAATGGTGTGTCATTTTCCAACTTGAAAATGGATTGGAAAACCACACATCTCATCACCCAAAGGGACACTGCCGAAAGATGATGCTCCCATTAAAATGATAAAACTCACTATCATCACATTCACTAAAATGACCAGCTTCACAACTATTGCGACTGCCACGTATCCTACTTGTACATATCACATGGTCTGACCTTTGCACTATTTATTATCCACAGAGTTTGTGTGTGTGTGTGCGTGTGTGAGAGAGAGAGAGAGACAGACAGACAGAGAGAGGTGTGTATGTATGTGTGTGAGAGAGGCGTGAGAGAGGTGTGAGTGTGTGTGTGTGTGCATACATGTGAGTGAGTGAGAGAGAGATTTGTGCGTGTGGTGTGTGCAAGAGTGTGTGTGATGTGTGTGTGTGTGTGATGTGTGTGTGTATGTGAGATGTGTGTGTGTGTGTGCAAAAGATATATGTGTGTGTGGCGTGTGCAAGAGTGTGTGTGAGATATGTGTGTGTGTGTGTGAGGTGTGTGAGATGTGTGTGTCTGTGAGGTGTGTGAGATGTGTGTGTGTGAAAAAGATATATGTGTGTGTGGTGTGTGCAAGAGT